GCTTCTTAGGAGGAAAGCGATGACAAACCTAGACAGCATCTTAAAAAGCAGAAACATCACCTTGCTGACAAAGGTCTGCATAGTCAACGCTATGGTTTTTTCAGTAGCGATGTATGGAAGTGAGAGCTGGACCATAAAGAAGGCTGACCGCTGAAGAATTGACACATTTGAATTGTGGTGCTGGAGGAGACTCTTGAGAGTCCCCTGGGCTGCAAGAAGAACAAATCTATCCATTCTGAAGGAAATCAACCCTGAGTGCTCACTGGAAGGACAGATCCTGAAGCTGAGGCTCCAATATTTTGGCCATCTCCTGAGAAGAGAAGACTCCATGGAAAAGACCCTGATGTTGGGAAAGTGTGAGGACAAGTGGGGAAGGGGACAACAGAGGAAGAGATGGTTGGACAGTGTCATCAAAGCTACCAATATGAATCTGACCCAACTCCGGGAGGCAGTGGAAGACATGAGGGCCTGGTGTGCTCTGGTCCATGGGGTCACGAAGAATCGGACATGACTTAACAACTAAACAACAATAAAACAATGAAGCAATGAGTCAAAAGCACAGACTTTTGCATTTCAAATTATGTAGACTATGAAGCAATGAGTCAAAAGCAGACTTTTGCATTTCAAATTATGTAGACTCTAAACTCCAAATTTTATACTACAATACTGCTGCTAGCTTTTAATGTGCCAGAAGACATTTGGGGTGCTTTGCAATGAAGGATTCTTACTGCCATCATCCACATCCCAACGAGATGCCACAGTTGTGACTTCAGAGACCACCTTCCCAGTGGTGAAGCACTGACTATCAAAAGCTCCAGCAAAGGATGCAGCTGTTTTGCCTTTTGCCTCTTAGGATTTTTTTTAAAGAAAGGAAAAAGGAAAAGAAAATGAATACTTACCATGTGTGGAGCACTGATAGTTGCTTGAAATCCTGCCAGGCAAGGAAAACATTACATAAATGCTCAATTATCAAACATTTCAACACCAGCATTTCTTGTTAGCAGATACATACATGCTCAACACAAAGAGGAAAACCTCTACTTCTTTGCTAAACATTTAGGCATCACAGTAAAGACTAATCCCCCACAAATTTGTTCAACCCTATTAAAAAGCCCTCCTTCATGGATTGCTGCCTTGTCGTGGCGAAGGGGCTTGAGTAATTTCCAAAAAAATTTAGTAATGTCAGTTTGTCTCAGCATGTTGATGAAATTAAAGGGGAAAAGGGAAACAAGGGGAAAAAGACAAAATATTGTGGCACTTTAAAGACTAAGATTTATTTTAGTGTCATAAACTTTCAGAAATCAAAAAAGAATAATTTTATGATATACGGGGTAAATTTTTGGAAATGTGTTAATAAGAGGAAAAGGGAAAGCTCCAAATCAAGAATCAATGCAGTTCTGGAGAAGAGGACAATGAAAGAAGAAGAAGAAAGATAGAAGATGAAGAGGATTATTGCAAGAGGTCCTGTCTATGGTGGTGGGAAACACACTTAATTTGTATTTTGGTTTATGTATTTTCTGTTTATCTTATAGTTAAACAATTTAAAAAAAAGAAATCAAAATCCATTTCTTCAGTTACCACATGCTCTCACCTCATTCAGTGACAGTTAATTCCTTTAATTCATGATCTATTGTGTAAATAATACATCCTTCTTTCTGCTCCGAACATATTTCCTTGGGCGACGGAGTTGTAATGTTATGAGGGAAATTTCTCTATTACAGTAATATTTTACAGACTTCTATCATGCTGCTCCTCTCAGCAATCCTTTTATTAGATTAAAATATTCCCCATAATGCTGTGATAGGTCATCAAACCTTAATAAAGTTTTCAAGTATGTGAGATGTTGAATGAATGGAGTGCCAACACTTCCCACCAGAAAGATTCCATGACTTGGCAGGGATTTATTTATTTATTTATCAAATTTATACCCCGCCCATCTAGACTGAAGTCTACTCTGGGCAGCTAACAATAACAGTTATAATAAAAACATATAATAGAATAAAAAACAATACAGTAGTAATGTGGTTCAAGATGGAAAAAATATTCAAGTGATGACGGGAGGGAAAGCCTGCCTAAACAGAAAGTTAAGTTTGCTCTTTAAAACAACCAGCAAGGGAGCCAGACAGATCTCTGGGAGCAGACTGTTCCAAAGGTGAGGAGCCACTGCCGAGAAGGCCCAGTTTCTTGTTCTTTCCCTCCGGGCCTCCCTCGGTGTTAGGCCCCTCAGCTGCCCTTCCTGGCTAGAACAAATGATTTGGGTAGATCTAGGCTGGAGAAGGTGTTCCGCTAGAAATCAAGGTCCTAAACCATTTAGGGCTTTATATGTCATCATTAACACTTTGAAATCAATGCGGAAATGAACGGGCACCCAATGCAAGGCAGCCAGAGTGGGGGAAATATGCTGATATATTCTCGTCCCACTGAGAATTTCTCGCCGCCGCATTCTGAACCATTTGAAGCTTCCGCATCAATCCCAAAGGTAGCCCCATGTAGACTGCATTACAGTAGTCTAATCTGGTGAGTGCCCCCAAATCAAGATAGGGACCCAGCTGGGCAATCTGCCACAGATGGAAATAGGTGGAGGGGACCACTGACACCACCTGGGTTTCCATGGTGAGTGCTGGATCCAGATAGACACCCAAGCTGCGAACCTCACTCTTCACGGTGAGAGTCATTCCCCCAAAGGAGAGGGAATTTCCCAAACCACCAATGGAGGTGGTCCCAAATCATCCACCCTCAGGACCTCCATCTTGTCAGGGTTCCAGATGGAGGTCCTGAGAATTTACCAAGATCTTCTGAGTCTAAGTCTGACACGCTCATCTGACACAATAGCTCTATCCCACAAACCAGCCTTTCCTTTACAGAAAAAACTCTGATATTTTACCTGCCCACCTGTACTTATCCTGTCCCATGATACCTGTCTCCATTCTCTACAGAAGCTATATTCAGTAAAAAGCTCAAATATTCAAGAAAACAGTTTTTATATAATAAAAAGACATCAGGCACACATTCTCATACCTATTGATTGAGGAGAATCCATATATGGGTTACATTTTGCATAATGACAACGGTCTGTTGCAAGCATTACTTCAAATACTTTATCTGATTTGATTATTCCATTTTCTGTAAAGAAAAAAAATATGTTTAATTTAAAACAAAAACAGGTGAATCCAAACCTAGACAGCATCTTAAAAAGCAGAGACAGCTATGGTTTTTCCAGTAGCAATGTATGGAAGTGAGAGCTGGACCATAAAGAAGGCTGACTGCCGAAGAATTTACGCTTTAGAATTGTGGTGCTGGAGATGACTCTTGAGAGTCCCCTGGACTGCAAAAAGAACAAATCTATCCATTCTGAAGGAAATCAACCCTGAGTGCTCACTGGAAGGACAGATCCTGAAGCTGAGGCTCCAATACTTTGGCCATCTCATGAGAAGACTCCCTGGAAAAGACCCTGATGTTGGGAAAATGTGAAGGTAAGAGGAGAAGGGGACGACAGAGGAAGAGATGGGTGGACAGTGTCATTGAAGCTATTGACATGAATCTGACCAAACTCCGGGAGGAAGTGGAAGACAGGAGGGCCTGGTGTGCTCTGGTCCATGGGGTCATGAAGAGTCGGACACGACTTAACAACTAAACAACATATGTTATATAAATCAGCACATGCTAAACAAGTCGGTGTAGCTGTTGATGAATCATGTACCTTTATTAGTTGCTGCCTGAAAATTCACCACATCAAAAAAGTGTATTATTTGGCTGGTATTGCCCCTCCAGAAGTACATCAAGAGGTGCTAGCAAATAATGAACAAAACAAGGTAACGCAGCATCAAACCCATCTACTTCATGGAGACCAACCCCCCCCCCTAGCCATTCTCAATGGGGGACATGACCGCTGGGAGCCCTGGCACATTTGAAGAGAGCCACAGACTGGAAACAGTTCTTCACACACCACCTTATAAGGTTCATTATGTGACTTATCCTGATTTGGCCTATTCTTTCATATTGTGTTTATGGCTGTGGCCAAAAAAAAAGAGGTTGAGAATGGGTGTCCTACACAATAGCTAAAATCGAGGAAAAGTTTTCTGCACCCATTTAAAGATCTAAACATTAAACCAGAAGAGGCTGGGCTAAATCTATGGAGAGCAAAAACAACACAACTTGCTGAATGGATGAATGCCAAAGACTGTCTCCTACCAGGACAAGGTTCTGGCTAGACCAACTGGAAGTTACTTAATATACTGTACTTCAAAACAAAGTAGGCAAATCAAAGAATAATCAAGTAAAATGAGCCTACTTGGATACAGGACAAATTATCTGTGACTGTGGAGAAATTCAATCAGTGCAGCACTTGTGTACATCCAAGTTATGTCCTGTCATGTTTACAAAAGAAAACCTAGCAAATGTATGAGGTAATGCAATTGAAGTAGCCCACAGTTCTGGTCAAAAGAGTCTAATTATTTTAACATTTTAATTTGTTTTTAAATTTCCCTATATTTCATATACATTCCTAATTTTAAATTGTGCACTGCTGTGATAGGAATAAAGAAAGAAAGTAGTTGCTGAGACAGTAATTACCTATCTTGCACCTCTGCTTTTCTCTGATTCCTGCTCAGTTGCCTTTCTGGTAACCTGACCTTGGTTTCCTCAAGTGAATTCTGTTCTGGTTTCTTTGTGCTCTCATGTGTGCTCTGATAGGAATAGATTCTCTTAATCAACTTTGGCTTTTGGCTGGCCATCCCTGTTCTCTTCTCCTTCAATCTGCTTGGTTACGCAATCTTCCATGTACCATCCATGACCTTGCGTTGTGGTCATCTTCTCCTTAACACCTCTGTAAGACTGCACCCTCAATTTGCATCATGTCATGGCTCTGTTAGGTACTTACATTCTGAAAGAAAGGCTGCACCTACATGTTCAAATGCCATGGGATTTGCTCCACTTACAGAACAGGTAAATTTGAAGTGACCACATGATGAAAAGGCTGATTCAATTTGGTCCAGCCCCCTTTCTTCCCAAAGTGGTTTTTTTCTGTCTGCTGCTGAGGTAAGATGGGGCTTCTACTTTTTCAAGCCAGAATGATTCAAACTGGCTTTTCCCCATGTAGTTAGTTGTAATGTATTCTTGTAAAAATGCAAGGGGTGTCTATAGGAGGTGTTTTGGTGCCATAGGTAGTTGGAATATGACACATACCTCTGTTTTTACTAAAATGAATCAACTCATCACTCGGGATAAAGTCAATTTGAATTGTTCCAGGTTGAAAAAAGAAAAAGCACTGAAGAAAAGCCATGCTGGGAGCAAAAAGGGCCAAGCTGATTCCAACTGACCTTTGTGTTGTGTGATTAAAAAAACCCAACAACTTCAAATTAACCTATACTATAAAGCTTCCGAATCCAACCAATAGTCCTTTGTCCCTTCTGGAAAAGCAGTGACATCTTCTAGTAGAATCTCTGCTTTTTGTATTTTTAGAACAGTGTAGTGATAATGCCATTTTATTCCTTTTTTTCAACGCTTTGCCTTAATATTACAGGAATGTAAGCTTAAAAGCCCCATCATAGTTTATTAATGAGGTAGTGCAGTGCCTCTTAATTGCTTTAGAATTTGCATGATTCTTGAAACAACACTATAGCATGGCATATTTTGACTTTTGCTACTGCACACTGCTGAGTAAATGATACGAATTTCATATCTGAAGAAGCACTGGAAGGTTACATGAAAACTACTGTTGCTTTCCAGGGTCTGGATGACAATATTATTATGTAGACCAAGTATAATTTTCACAGGCTAAAATGCAACATAAATAACTAAAATGAGGTAAACATCCTGAAATGTGCTATTGTGGAATTTTCATGTTGATACTATTGAGAACATATATGGCTAATTGCAATCATCATACAAATCTGGAGCTATCCCATAAATATGTAGCAGAACATTTTGAGAAGTTTTTTTAAAAGGGCTGAATATCATTGCATGCAATATCTATGGATTTTCAAAGCTTCTTAGCCTGTTCCCATTATAGAAAATAGGAAGTTTAGGGGTGGTTACTTTGAGAAGGAAAACATCTTACATACGGTATCTTCTGCTTTGGGGATATTGAGGTTGCAGTGACAGTAATGAAACAGGAAGAGTACTGCATATAATGGATAGCAATGTAGATTGTATGTTGGGCAGCTAAAAATGGATCGCTAGTTCACTTTTCACAAATGTTCAGCAATTCACGGACTTGAAATCAGTGAACTTTGGAAGACACTCACTTTCTGAACTTAAAGAGGAACTGAGGAGAGGAGCTCTTCAAGTATTATTGCAAAAACAAAGCAAAATTATAAATAAAACTATATTGAGAAGGAGCTTCCCTTTGTCTAGAATTAACTAAGGATGAGAGGTTCAGGTGAAATGCTGTATCATTATTACTGTTTCTGTTTCTACTATGCTTCCATTTAAAAATAAATACATGTTAATATACAACAAGAGTAAACCAAAAATCTTGTGGTGTGACTCAGTGGAAAGTAGTTTTGTTTGCCAGAGGCAGTACATGAAGACATTTCTGAATTAAAGTTCTTTTAGATATTATTTTGTAAGATTATTTTTAAGTGTTAATGTTAGAAATTAATATCTGGTTCTTTTAATTTGTATGTCTCTCCTGGCCATTTCTCTCAAAAATACTTTTGTTCCTAAATGGGTATTTAACTCTTGCCCTAGGGTCCCTGTCCAGGGCAGAGGAGTAATTTTGTCAAGCTCTGATTGTTGCACAGGCTTTTCTTACCACCACAGATAATTGCTGAAGGCAGATTATGGAGTTCACAAACTTTCTTCATTAAAAAACATGGCACATTCTTAAAAGTACTGAATTTAAGAGGGTATGACAGGTTAAAATAAGTTGGATTCATCAGGATTTAAATAATTCTGAAAGCTACATTATTATATTTCTTGCTGTGCCTAATAATAAATACAATAGCTGGTCCACAGTGACTCATTCCTATTCTACATTCCACTTCATTTTGAATTAGTTTCTTCCATGTATGATGGAAAGCATGTGGGACATATATAATTCTTCTGGTTGTTATGTTGTGTTGGGATGATGTATTTGGGCAACCAAATGAAGCACACCTTATCCTGATGGTAATATTTATATCTACCTGTGAGCAAGCTCTGGGCTGGCTGGGTGGGATCTATCCTGCAGTAAAAACTAGAACAGGAACTACTGCGGGTGGTCTTGGTCCATCACTCTGTGCTTGGATTCCCTTCCCATAGTGGTACAGGTGTGTGTGATTTGTTTCACTGTCAATGACAGCACTGCTGTGGGTCTCTTACTCTACTGCAAGGGCTTTCCCCTCTATAGTGCTCTCCTACAGCCTGGTGGTTACCTTTGCATGTGGGAACAAATTATATGGCCAAGAAAATCCATAAAGAAACCACATGAAACTATGAAGCTCTAAGAAGGAAACTAAAGAATATTATAGCTCAGATAGTCTTCTTGTCTATCTGACCATTGTTATAAAGAGAAACAGAAAGGGAAGTATTTTGGGTGAACAATTGGTTACAAAGGTGCTATCAACATAAGGGACTGGGTTTTGGGACAATGGGCTTTGCTTCCTGGAAGCTGAACTACTGGCAAGTGATGGGTTGCACATCACACAGACTGGGAAGAATGTGTTTGGTAACAGCATGAAGAACTTGCAGTCTTATCATCATCCTGGGAAAAGGAGTCCAAGTGGATGGCAGTTTCTTAAAAGGAAAATTATATAGACACAGCTACAAACAATTCCAACAAGAAAGAAAGAAGGAAGACAGCAAAAAACACCAATATGGCTTCATGAAAAGCTTAGAAAGGACCTGAAAACAAAAAAAAGGACAGATGTCGGAAGTGGAAGGAAAGCCAGGTCACAAAGGAAGGGTACAGACAAACAGCAAATAGTTGCAGGAATGGCATTAAGAAGGCAAAAAAGCTGAGAATAGGCTGAGGTTAGCAAGAGATACTAAAAGCAATAAAAAAGTATTCTTCAGGAGTTCATAGCAAAAGGTAGGAAAATAGTAACTCAACTCTCAGTGGGGATGCAAAAATGATACCAGTAGAAAAAGAAAAGGGCAAAAAGGAGAAACCTGGGAACTACAGACCAGTCAGCTTGACATCAATCGCAGGAAAAATTCTAGAGTAGCTTATAAAGCAGTCACTCCACAAACATCTTGAAAACAATGCAGTAATAGTCAGAAGCCAAAATGGATTTGTCAAGGAAAAAATTCTGCCAGACTAATCTTATCTCATTTTTTGATTCAGTAATCTCCTTGGTAGATAGTGAGAATGCTTTAGACATAATATATCTTGACTTCAGTAAAGCTTTTGATAAAATGCCCCTTGATATTCTGATTAGCAAACTAACTAGATGTGGGATGGATAGAACAACTGTCAGGTGGATACACGGTTGATTAGAGAATCATACTCAAAGTGTGCTTATCAATGGCTCCTTCTCAAACTGGAAGAAAATAACAAGTGGGATACCAGAAGACTCAATTCTGGGTCTGGTGCTCTTCAACATTTTTATTAATGACTTGGATGAGAGGGAGAATGTTTATAAAATTTGCAGTTGACACAAAATTGAGTGAAACAGCTAATGCCCGGGAAGACAGAAACAAAATTCAAAAGGATGTTGCTACCTTCTTTTCTCGAAAATAAGACCTAACCTGAAAATAAGCCCTAGTTTGATTTTTCAGGATGCTTGTAATATAAGCCTTACCCCTAAAATAAGCCCCAGTTAAGTGAAACCCTGCCTTCCACCACTGTGCAGCCACCAGAAGATGACATGACTGTATTTGAATAAATGTAGATTGCTGTACATGGAAAAAATAAAACATCCCATGAAAAAAGCCCTACTGCATTTTGGAGAAAAAATTAATATAAGACCCTGTCTTATTTTCAGGAAAATATGGTAAACTCAAGGGCTGAAAACAACAGAATGAAATTTAACAGGGATAACTGCAAAGTTCTATATCTACGAAAATGAAACCAAATGCAGTTACAAGATGGGGGATACGTGGCTCAGTAATATGACATGTGAGAAGGATCTTGGAATTACTGTAGATCACAAGCTGAAAAGGAGCCAAGATTGCTATGTGGTTGCAAAAAAAGGCCAATGCTATTTTAGGCTGCATTAACAGAAGTATAGTCTCCCAATCCCAAGAATACAATTTCCCTTCTATGACACTGGTTAGGCCTCATTTTAAGTACTGTGTACAGTTCTGGGTGCCACACTTTTTCAGAAAAGTTCAGACAAACTGGACAAGAGGGCAGTAACAAGAGTGATAAGAAGAATGGAAATTAAGCCCTATGATGAAATACTTGAAAGAATTGGGCATGTTTAGCTTTGAGAAAGACGTGGTGCCGTTGCGGGTTAAACCGCAGAAGACTCTGTGCTGCAGAGTCAGAAGATCAGCAGTCGTAAGATCAAATCCACGCGACGGAGTGAGCTCCCATTGTTTTGTCCCAGCTCCTCGCCATGCAAATGTGAGTAGATAAATAGGTACCACCTTGGTGGTAAGGTAACAGCGTTCCGTGCCTAAGTCGCACTGGCCACGTGACAATGGAAACTGTCTTCAGACAATCGCTGGCTCTACAGCTTGGAAACAGGGATGAGTCGGACATGACTGACTATATGTCAAGGGGAACCTTTACTTTTACCTAGCTTTGAGAAAAGAAGACTATGATAGCAGTTTTTAAGCAGTTGAAAGGTTGCTATACAGAGGAGGGGCAGGATCTGTTCTTGATCATCAGAACATGTAATAATGGGCTCAAGTTACACGACACCAGATTTCAATAGAATATCAGGAAAAATGTCTTAATTTGTTAGAGCAGTATGACAATGGAACCAATTACATCAGGAGGTGGTAAGCATTCCAACACTGGCAGCATCAAGAGAAAATTAGACATCTGTCAGATATACTTTGATTTGGGTTCCTGCACTGACCAGGAAGTTGGACCTGATGGCCTTCTAAGCCCTTCCAACTCCATTATTCTATGATTGTATGATTCTGGAACACCATACAACCCTTTCAAAACCAAGTGGCCTGTCAGCAAATCATAAGAGGATCAGTAGAGGCAGGACCAGAGAAAGGAAGGGAAGAAGAGGAGCTGTGGGCTGAAATGCAAGTCGCACCATATCAAGTGCGAACACTGAACTCCTGAATCAATCCACTGCCCTGGAGAAATCACTGATTGAGAATTCAGGCTGTGAATCAAACTGCAGCAAGACTGAACTGGAGCCATTCGGCTTGCCATAGTAGCCTTTCTGTGATATTATGTTTCTACCATACAGTATATTTATTGGGCTACATCCTTCTTAACTACCTGCATTGCTTTTACAGAAAATACATAAAAATGGAAATAAATAAGACATAAAATTACAAACCTGCAAAAATATAGCAGTCTTCAGCAGCACATGCATACTTATCTGAAAGTCAGGAATCTTGTATCCCATACAGAAACACTCCTCAGAGTGAGCCATAGGCTCAAGAATTGCTATATACAATTTATTTATTTATATTAAACACTCTAATACAGTAAATGGAAACAAGTACACAATACAACTGTCTGAAACAGTGTAAACCAGCCATCCTATCTTAGCTAGTTTAGGCATAATTAAATAGATTGGCAGGTAAAAGTTACTGAAGTAGGCTCTGGATGTTACATGTTTCTTCCATCTACTCCCTATTTAAAATTACTTATATACGTTTCCAATCCAAACAAGATAACAGGATGTTGAAGTCCTCAGCTTTATTTATTTATTTATTTGATTTTTACTCCGCCCCTCTAGACCATGTCTACTTTTGCACAAGCTGAAACTGGGAGCTGCTACAACTGACTGTTTTACTTAGACCTATAATAATTGCATACTGTCAAGTTAATTCTGATTTATGGTGACCCTTTCCAGAGTTGTCGAGGTACAGAATACACAGAAGTGGTTTACCATTTCCTTCTGCTGAGGGCATCCTTGGCTGACTCCTTCCCTAGGAGGTATAGTAGGAAATCAAACCCTCAATCTCGGCCTCTGCAGCCAGATACCTAAACCACTGAACTATATATACAGAGTAAGTAATTCCCTGCCAGGTTCTTTTAACTTTACAGAATAACTCATACTACAAGAGATATAACCAATCCAAAAGAAAAATAAGAACAAAAGTATTGCAACACCTTAAAAATAACTAATTTATTTCAGTGGGAACCATTCATATACAGTATTACAATGCAATTCCTCAGACACATTTTTCTGGAAACTACTAATGGAGCAAGAGTTAAATATTCTTACCCACTAGTGCTTTAAGACAGGCACCTCATTTTGCCTGATGCCTTTTGTCAAATCCCATATTTACTAGTCTCTAGTGCTTCCACAAGATAAATATCATTAAAGATCAGGGAATAAATATCACAACTTTTACTCAATCAAACATCTAGGGGTTTAGAGAAGTTTGAGATGGTTTAGAAGCTTTACAAATGACATGCAATGTCAGATATACTGTAGGTGCACAGAGTATAAACACAGTAACCATTTGTCTTTAAAAAAATCGAATACAGTACAATATTAAAGTTCACAGAACAAACTAGACCCAGCCAAATCACACATGCATGCTCTTCTCTATTCTAACCAACTCTCTCATTATGGCAAAACATAGCAACCACTCATTTGTTTCTCCGCAAGTATTAACATAGGTGGCAGTTTTCAGCCAAAGATCATGATAACAGCTGAATGAATGATAATCGTCCCAAGAGGTTAGAAACTGAAAGGTCAACTGTCACACCTTCCAAACTACATTATAAAAGAAATCTCTACAACCACACGGACCAGAGACTTTCTCGTTGTTTCCTAAAACCTACAATGCTTTCTACTAATAAAGGGCACTAATGGTTGATATCCATAGGCCGGATACGTCGGAAGCTGAAAGCGACATCTATCTAGCTAAATAAAGATCTCTGAAGCTATGGGTGCCAGAGCGATGCTCACGGCCGAAAGTCAGCCGTTTCATTCGCGTTGCCCCTTCCGACGGAAGGCGAAGAAACCCCGACCGGGGGCTCGCCCGCCGGCCCGCCCAGCAGCG